TGTTAAGTTAAAGTAAGCAAATATGTCATAATTAGAAGTAGTGTCGTACTAAGCCACATGCATGAAGTTTCAAAATCCATCTCGAAAAGCACTACCATTCCCAATCTCCTTTCGTTTCAAAGTCCAAGCACTACTCACAATTGATAGGATCCTTTTAACTTCTTTAGCCTATGTCTACTCTGTTTGATGCACATGCACCGGTTGCATTCAAGACTTTCGTAGGTTCATCATATCTGAATTTATATGTATATACCGAAAAGAGCATCGGTGATCAACGTAGTCAAGACATATTGCCATCAAACACTTCTTTTGATGCACATACATTTCCTGCACAAATCTGTTCATATAAACCCTTAGATAAGTGTGTAATGTAGCTTTTATTAGTAAGTTCTTGGCTCCAGGGAATGAAATGGCTAGGGATTTTTGGTCCCACACGAAATAAATCAGTGACAAAAAGACACCCAAGAGGAAGTTTCCTAGCAACTTCGTCTCTCCCCTTTTTTTTGGGGTTCTCTATCTTTGTTTCGATTCTAACTTATCTCCAGATATTCATAAATGCATTTTGAATTCGAGGCTTGATGCCTCGATCTGATCAGACACGATGTATTGCACGCGTCTCTGTGCTGTGCCGTTAGGAGAATCAGAGGCAGCCTAGAACGCAACACGTGAACAAAATTTGGACTCGGACTCAAAGGCCGATGGTTGGAACGATCTGATGTCTGATCTTTTTACCAAAACGTAAGGCTGAGAGAGACTGATGGGATGAGATTGCGGTTGAGATCGAGACAGTTTGTCACGTGGTATTACGTGGTCCACGAATTGCAATGGAGTTATACTCGTTCAAAGCTTGATTTCGCTACGCACATAAGAAACTTCAACATTCAAGGATGTCGTCTTCTGCTGTTCTTGGTATTGAGGAGGACTCGGGATATTTCAAAGCAGCTTGAGATGCTTCGTATTGGATGATCCAGATGGTTCGACTTGTAGTTTGGACGAAGATGTTGAAGGGAGTCGTGGTTGGTGGTACGATACTGTGATCGGTCGTGGTTAAACTGTTAGGTTATACTAAGTCACTTGGTCGTGAGACTTTTGCTTCGAAGACTTTTGTTCTTGGTGGCGCTGTTGATACCCTTGCTTATCTGCCAAAAACAGGCTTAGGCCCATCGCAGAATGGATGCATGCAATATGGTTTTGCTCATACCCATCCCACAAAGCCACAGCCATCTCTACTTTGAATCACGAGGAAAATACTCGTTTCTGATTAGAGGGTTACAAATATGAACACCATCCTCTTTTAATTTGAGATAAGTTTGCCATTACGTATGGGTGATGTACTTGAGTTGTAAGCCCTCGGATAGAGACATGGTTGGAAGGAAGGAATGGTGGAAAATAAATCCCTAAAAAATGGTTTACCAAAAAAAAAAAATCTATAAACTAATACGATGGTCTCTTGTTGGATGCTGAATATGATAAATTTAACTACCGATTTTAAGTATTTCTTTGCTATTTTATGTATGTTCCGTTTAGATTATGCAAAAGACCTTGACTCAGAGCAGTTTACACGCAGTTGGTGAGATTCGAATGAGCGATCTTAAACTCCTAAGCTCGAAATCTCTCCATGCCTCAACTAACGATGTTGATCCTATATTATGTATTCATAATTTCTTATTTTCCTAAATTAAATCACGATCATCCTCAAGGCTCGAGCAATCATGCCAAATTACCTAGCATACAAAATTTCGGTCAAAAGTTTTAGTACCCCTAGGATTTCTCGTGAGGGATCTCCCAAATGGATTTGAGTTTGATAACTACTTGGGATGCAAAGTGCCTCTCCCACGATACGTAGCAGTTGGCACTGTATCCATGGAACGTTAGGTAATAACATTCTCGTTTTCAAAGTTCAAACGCTTTGATCAAACCAAATTAATGTTCAACGATTTTTCTAGAGCTTAATAAATTATGAAAAATTCAACCATCGCAATAGTAGACGAGCTTGAAATAATCTGAAAACATGTAGATACGAATCGCCTTGTAATTTAAGCATAAGATACGAATCGCCGAGGAATATTATAATTGGACATCAATGATCCACATGTTAAAACATGTGAAGAACGCATGTAACGTTGTCGACATCCCCTATCATGTAAGATTTATATAAACTAATGAAAGAAACTAAGGCATTTGATTGCACCCTTTCTATTGCGTAAATGTGAGAATCACAGTACAGTAACCCACATTGATGATAATTATGAGGGCATGCAATGCCACCCTATGTTGCTAGATATGCCATGAATGTTATTGAAGTAGTACTAGACACAATAAAGATGTCTCGAGGAAATATTTGAATCATTGATAGTTCATATTTCATAAAGTGGATTCTAATTTTGCCATTTACATTATTCTGGAACCGAGTCCGTTAATATTTTCATTCCGAATTTCTGACTACTTTTGTTTTGCAAGGTACCATGTTCGCCTCGAGGCTCTTATTGGGGATTCATGTGCTTTATATAAGAGAACCGTGATATGTAAGGCTCGTTTGTTTACGATTCAGCATGCTTTCCCGTCAGAATCTAAAAATATAATACAGATTCTAAAAGGTTATGGAAAAAAACAATACACGCGAACTCATGTGTTTTTCAACCCCAAAAAAACTTATGTGTTATTAATAGCATTTCGAGAAAATTTTTAAGCATTTCAAATATTACAAAGCCAATGCGCGTAATTCGCAAGATTCATACCCGATCAATAATCTTGTGGTTGTCAAATGCGAATGTATGACTCCTTGAATTGACCTATCGAAGAAGGCGCATGCGTGCATAAAAAAGAACCTGATACACTATTGTTTTGGATTATTCATCCGTCGTTTTGCATGGAACGTTTTGCAAACACATGCTTGTACACACGCTATCAACCTATCGTCTAATCGACAAAACGAATTTAATCCAAAATCCTATGCAGAGTCTAGTCCTAATTGTGGCGCATCGAAAAATAAACGACTTTGAAAAACATTTTCGAAGAAGGGATGTGCCTCCAATTCCGATTGTTAGCTGTTGTGCGATTGATCACGCGAATACGGTGCTGACTGTTGAGTAGGAATCGGGAAATTTCTTGCACGCGACCGTTCCAAATCTCTAATGCGGACACACAATAGAAATGACAATGACCCACCACCATTTTGTGGACCCTATTAATTTCTATATCTAATTTGCAAAGGTTCGATCGTTTTCTCCGCCCATTTTACCGACTAGGATTTGTGCTTGCCTTCATTCAATAAAATGAGTTTTGTCAAACGAGTTTATATGTTTCAGATTAGCATTTGTTGGAAATTCTAATACTTATGTAATTTTTCCTATTAATTGTTTTCTTGAAAGGTTTTTATTATTTTCAGTTAATAATGCAAAATGTTATTGATTACATATAAATTTTCCTAAGTCATATGACAACGACGATTAGGAATTTTCTAACGGTTGTCGAATTCCTATACTTCACATTTGTATATAATACGATTCAGTCTTTATTTAGAATTTTAGAGGAAGTAACGCATGAAAAGAAAATAGAGCAAGATTAGAGCTTTTCGCCACTTTTTGGCCATTTTTTAGAACTCTTCTTAACATTAACGAATATATGCACTGAAAGCCCTAAAACTTGTCACGAAAATGCAATTGAGTTCTAAATTTTTTAAAAAGTGTAATCAAGTCTTAAGACTTAATAAATTGGTGCAATCAAATCCTTTTGTTAAATCTGTTTAACTTGACCAACGAAAAATGTTGACATGACTTTTTTATTATTTTTTCTCTTCTACGTGGTGTAGATGTAGCTAAAACATAAAACAGAAGGCTAAAATAACATCATTTTGATCCTAATATGATTGTTTAACAAAATTTTGTTTAATTTACACTTAAAAAATAAGCTAAATTTTAAAAAAAGAAGGGAAATCAAGCGAGGGCCGAGCAGGCCCTTTCCGCTGTCGCCGTCGCCCCAACATCGCTGGAAAGTGCTGGTGATAGTTGGGTAATGGCCGATAGAGGTCATCGGGACCTAGCCAGTGGTCGGCAACCCTCACTGACCACAGGCGAGGGCTGACGACCCTTGCCCGAATTGTGGGTCGTGGCCCTCCCCTAGGTCAAGCGAAGGTCGCTAGCCCTCGTCCAAATTTAGCCGAGGGCTGCCGGACCTTGCCAAGATCTTGTGTGGCCCTTGCGAAGATTCGGCGCCCGTCGCCAAGATCAAGTCCTCACGTGCGGTCGGCAAAGGTCGCTGGTCTTTGTCTGAGGCTCGGTGACCCCGTCGCCATCACCCCAACATTTTCCTGTTTTTTTTTTTTTTTCAAATTTAGCTTATTTTCAATTTATTTTAAAAAAATTTAGGTTAAAAAAATCATATGTGGACCAACACGACATCGATTCAGTCTTATGTTTCATGTTTTTGCCAAGTCAATGCCACGTAGGAAAAAGAAAATAATAAAAAAGTCACGTTAGTATTTTTCATCAGCCAAATTAGATGGAGTTAACGAAATGATTTAATTGCATCAATTTGACAAGTTTTTTTTTGACTTGATTGCACTTTTTCAAAGTTTTAAGAATCAAATGTATTTTTGACACAAGTTTTAGGACTTATCCCTAGCATTATTGAGCACATTATTATCTTTTCCTTCTTTCACTCTCATCATTATTTCATCACTTTATTTGCAACTCCTCATTTAACAATATTTTTTTTCCTTTTGTAAGTAACAATTACACAAGACTTAAATAATATAAGAAGTAACAATTATACAAGACATTCAAAATAAAATTTAAAAGTACTTCTACAAATAATATAAACAACATATAATTATATCTAACATCCATATATGCATTAATTTCTCTAAATAATAAATCAATTATTCTATTATTATAATTTTGTAGAAAAGTCTGAAGCGCGAATATATGCCATTGCCTGGCTGGAGATTGAACCCAACACGAAAGCATCCAATTTGCCATTCTTGTCTCCCTCCTTCATCTATCGATCCATCCATCCATCTATAAAAGGGCACTCCCCTTCCTAATTACTAAGTAGCTTCGTGTCAAAGCATCATAAAGCCTAAGAACCCGTCGCCAAAGCGCGCATTCTTGCCTTTCCTCTCAACCCTTCACACGCCGTTCGCGTTTCCTTTTGCCCCTTTTCCCTTCGAGCATCCGCCAAGAACGCAGGCTCGGAGCAGATCGATCAGCAGATTCGAGAAGATGGGGAGAGATCGACAAATCGGCGTGGCCATGGATTTCTCCAAGAGCAGCAAGTGCGCCCTGCAATGGGCCATTGACAACCTTGCCGACAAGGGCGACACCCTCTACGTCATCCACATCAAGACCGACTCCGTCGACGAGTCCCGTGATAAGCTCTGGTCTAAATCCGGCGCACGTAAGTGTACATGCTTCCGAGTTCGCGGTTGGAGTTCTTTTCATAAATATCTGAACTTTCCCATTCGACTGTGGTTTGTGTTGCAGCTCTGATTCCATTGGCGGAGTTCCGAGAGCCGGAGGTCATGAAGAAGTACGATGTTCAGACCGACATGGAAGTTTTGGATACGCTCGACACGGGGTCGCGACAGAAAGAGGTAAGATCCTTTGCGCATCGAGTTCGAACGTAGGGTTTCTATTTCTCGAACAGATGATTTCGGTTTCGTCGAATTCGATCAGATTGTGAATTGCGATGATGGGTTGTGTGGTCTGCAGGTGAAGATCGTGACGAAGCTGTACTGGGGGGATGCTAGAGAGAAGCTGCTTCAGGCGATTGACGATCTGAAGCTGGACTCTCTGGTCATGGGAAGCAGGGGACTAGGCACCCTCAAAAGGCAACTCTCGCTCTCTCTCTCTCTCTCTCTGAATGAAGAAGATATGTAAAAAGAGAATGTTTTTGATTCGGATTATTCACGAAATGAATTTACATAGTCATAGAAAAAGATATATATATATATATATATATATATATATATATATATATATATATATTTAAACTAAAACTTGAAATCAGAGAAATTTATAAGACTAATTGCCAATTAGTTTGGCTAATTAGATACAGCTGTCAATTTTGCTGTTGATATGTCATTATAATTAAACTCCACACGATTTACGTGCTAGCATGAAGTTTGTGGACCAAGAATGAGGCTGAAAAGGTACCTTAGATTTAGTAGAGATAATATAATCAAAATTAAGTTTGGGTGTAATCGGTTTCTAGGTGGGCCGGTTGCGAGACCGGAATCTAGAACCTACCTTCTTATAGATCCCTATTCCGAAGAATTGGAACCGGGTGGAGCCGTCTGGCCGGTTTCGTTTTGTACAATGACATAATTGATATTTTATATTTCTTGTTTACCGCACGACTGGTCAAGCCTTGTTGGTCGAGTGGTCTCATGTGCCCTACTCCAAGCCGGAGGTCATAGGATCTCGTTCTCGCTTGTTGCATCTCGAACCGGCCTGCTTGGTTGGTTACTAAGTCGATGACATGAAAATTGAAGACCGAGCTGGGTAATGGATTTGGAATCGAGAACCGGACTGGTTCTTCCTAGAATTGACTAAGAATTGGTCGGGTACCGCTAGTTCGATCCGGTTCACGGGTTGAACCGGCCTGTCGCTCCCGCCTACATAAGTGTATCACATCACCCTTTTGTCTAACCAAAAAAATAAGAATCCTTTTCTGCAAACACCATGTTAGGATAATACACATCTACCGGTAATTTCATCTTGCAGAACGACATAAACTATTTATGCAAAACTAATTTCACACACACTGAACAACACAGAACAATCTCTTGATTATACAAAGTACATCACATTCGTTTATTTATTGGTCATTCTTGAATGTTACAATCAAAGATAGAGCAAGACATAATTGGGTTGGTGGTGACTTTGAATGCAGGATAATATTAGGGAGTGTGACCAGCTACGTGACCAGTCAAGCCCCTTGTCCTGTGACCGTTGTCAAAGATCCCAGCTTCGGCAAGAATTGATCATCACCTTCATCTGAGTTTCAACCTTGGGCGGGTGGTCTCTTGAGGAAGAGGATCAATCTCAAGTGCTTCTCTCTTTTTTTTTCCAATTTTCCTACTAATGAATAATTACCTTTATTTGTGGGTTGATACCAGATCATATCGACATAGAATTTACTCATATATGAAATTAATGTATTACTTCTAGCTATGCTGCTTTCGTGTTTTTGGATAGTGCTCACCGTTTCATAAAATGCAGAAACATGTGTATGCTTTCCTGAAAGGGATTGTTAAGTAGATTTGATTTGCGGTATTGAGCCGATACATGTTACAAAAGCTCATATATAGAACATCTACACGTACAGTCGTAAGAGGACTCTACCGAGCCGTGGTCGCGTTAAAGCAATCCCTAGATATATGGGCTTACAAAGTATGATGTAACCATGTTAAAGTAACCCCGTTTCACAACTGAAGCTGCCGCAAGAAATTTATACCGAGCAAATTGAAAGTTTTCTTGAAATACTTTTCTTTGGATGAATACCGTGAAATCCAATTCAGAGAGGTTGGTCAAGCAGTAAAAACAACAGGGATTTTGCTCGTGTGATACCGTGAGACTCCAAGTTTAATTCATACTTAACACTATGATTTGGAGTTCAGTCATTAAGAAGTAATTCATCGTGAATTCTCTAGTCCTGTCATCGATCGCTTGACTATGATCAGATCGAGGCAAAAGTCTAAACATATAATATGTCTAGAACAACTAAATTTCATTCAACACTCAAGCAAATAAGTTATAAAGAACATAACTAAATAAACAAATCCCGACGGGGGATATACTTTCCCTCGTATCACATGTGCATCCAAATAAATTTTCTTTCTCATTTCGATTACCTTATTCCTATTTGCCAAACGGGGTATCATTAGTTTTTTTATTCTTGTCATGTTAAGATCAGTCCCCCTCATTACAAAGCTAGCTTTTGTACTGTGCCCCAAAGAGAAATCTCAACATGTTCCCCCCCTTTTTCTTCTTGTGGAATGCGATGCCGGCTAGTGCAAACTTTTATCACCTATTGTCACGTTAGGGCTAGAATATGATGACACATCAAACCCAGCAACCCTTTTTCTTTATGTGCCTCCATCTGTGGCATTCTCCTCCAGATCTAATTGCGATGCCATACCTCGGTCGCCAAATGATCATTTGAGAGATTCTTCTATTGAAGTTCATGTGTAAGCGTGTTAGTAAAACGACACCACATATTAGACAATTAATCAGGGTAGAGCAATTAATATATCTACTCGACTCATTTGGAATGATGCCTCGTGAAGATATAACATATACGTTTTTTTTTAGGGTTCAAATATCCATCGGTTGCCAAAACATTAGTATGCTTGGTAACATTTCAAATAAGGAATCAAATCTCAACCTTACATGCATGAGTATCCAAGGAACTCAATTTGGATGCGTTGATATTTTAAATGAGACGGATAAAAGATGGGCATGTCTAACTGCAAAGTAATTTTTCTTTACTCTTGGCATTGCTGATCATTCCAAAATGAGGGATGCTGGACCGCGGACGGATTGGGGAATCGCCATGGTTCAATGAAGGCATGCATACGCAACACTCTGAAAAGAGTTCCTCTTCCACCTTAACTAATCGCAAAATTATAGGCCAAATTTCTCAAAAGAACACTAATTTATGGGTTCGATCCGATTCCGACATCGACTTTCGAGTGTACCAAAGAGGCCAACAGTGCACGTCAACAATGTCCATGCTCGAAAGTCGGTTCCGAAATTGGGTCAAAGTCATAAGATAGTGCTTCTTTTAGTGAATTCGGCCCTAAACACTACCTCACGACACATAAGAAACCCAAATCTTTGGAGAGACTTTAATTTTTTTCTCACTTATTCTGATTAGAAATGTTGCTGCTAGGAAATGAACTTGTCTGATCTGAATTCGACGTACTAGCGAACCTTGCTTACCTCCCTTTGTCTCAGCTATGGCCCGTGTCAATGGTGCTCAAAGGATGTTTTGATCAGTCCTTATTTCCCTTTCCTTTCCCTCCTCCTGATCTTGTTTTTTTCATTTGGACTTGCACATAAGAAAAGACCATTTCTTGGTCAATCCTCATTCCTTAGCGTTGGCTCGGATCCATTGGGCCTACAATCGGGCCGAATTATTTGGTGAAGCCCGAAGTGGGTTACTACTATTTGGAAGCATTGTTCAATGAAGTTGGGCTGGACATGGATGATACTGATGTCCAATGTTTTCCAAGCTCTGACGTTTTAATGTTTTCATCACATAAGAAGAAGAAAGCAAGATCACCGCATGCTTGGAGTACTTTGGTGGGTCAATTTCATTTTTGGCTACCACACATCGGATCATTGACAAAATGAGACAGGAGAAACAAAAAGATTTTTAGTCGTACGAGACCCATTAATTGTACTTTTCAGTTAGGCAAATCGTTTTTTTTTTTCCAAATAATTTAAACTAATAAGAAACTAATGAACAACGAATATATAACATATGACTTCACGTTTCCTATGAATATAAAATCAGTCCTGAGATGCGCAACATGAGATGTGAATATAATCATATCGAATAGACAACCTGATACAGGAAAACATTCAAAGGAGAGAGAGAGAGAGAGAGAGAGAGAGAGAGAGAGAGAGAGAGAGAGAGAGAGAGAGAGAGGTATTGAGCAAACTGTTTTCCTAAAAACCTTAAATCATTATGGAAAAAATAGCCCAACAAAACATTTACGTAGGATATCACTCAACATTCGAGAAAAATGAGGCTATGCACATTGATATCCATAATCCCCTAATTCATAGTTTTTAATTCTGTAATAGTTTTGCCATACAGACATGAAGAGGTAATGCAATAGCATTTTAAACATATACTCAATTCATGTAAAGTTTCATTCAAGCAATTTTTTCTCATGAATGATCATGTAGAAATTCAAATCGGTAATAGGGCAGGTTCGACTTTAGAAATTGCATCATACATATTGAGATCGTTACCTTAAATTGAAATATACACGGAATGCCTAAAGACTAAAAACCGTAAACAAATTTTGCCTCTGTCTCTTTCATTCCCTCTGATCTCCACGCCTTTCCTTTTCTATATTTAAATCGTAACGTAAGTCTGAAAAAGCATGTAAGTGACAAACAACGCTTGTCTTTGTCTAGTCAAGTGCCTGAAGTTGTAAGCTTTGGCTCCACTTTGTTGCTTCAAATCAGCAGTCCACATCATAAGCTATCAGAAGCTGAAGAGAAGATTGCCGTCGTTTTCGTGTCAGTTGGAACAACCAACACAACTATCGGACGCTTGCAAGGGAAGTTAAAGAAAGCTCGAGGGTGTATATAATCAGGCCATTATTGGATCTCAACTGCAACTACTCCTTTTATCAATGTAATTTCATGGTCACCAACTTAGTACTTTATGTTCATAATAGCTTATATGTAATGCTATTATGCAAACCATGATCATTATATCGATTGAGGGTTTCATTTGAGAGTATCTAGGTCAGGCTATCCTCCATAATTACCTTAATGTTGATCATCTATGTGACTTGGCCCTAAAGTATGTTCCTTCAAGAAGATGTTGGAATTAAGTCAAGTATCTTTTTTTTTTTAAATTATTTACCCCAAAACGATTAAAGGGTATTCAAATAATTGATTTGCATCAAGATATATATATATATATATATATATATATATATATATATATATATATATATATATATATAAACACACACACAATGTTTTAATGAAGCAAAACTAATAAATTGGGCCACTTAAGAACACATGCTAGAAATAGTACCCAAAAGCAAAACTAATAAATTGTCCACGTGCAAGTTGATTATCCTGTCACTAAATTTGTAGTTAAAGAGAGATTACTTACATATAAGGTTAATGCGAAAACCTGCAAACAAGTATGTAATGGTAAGAAAATCACAAGGAGTTCAAGAATAAGGTAAGATGAATGAAAACGGTTTGCGAAATAAATGAAAATTGTAGCACGAAGGATATGAGACTAGATCGTCACACCATGTTTGATATTATTAGTACAACCCTACAAGTTCATGTCATTAGGTAGAAGGAGATTGCATGCACAGTACATCATCTAATGCAGCTGTACGAATTAACATATTAATTGATATAATCGGTTCATTTCTTTTTGCATGTCACCGTTTTTTCTAACACATCAATCTTGAATTTGGTTTACAAAATCGTTCTGCTTTGCTAATTTCAATCCTCACGCCACCCTGGCTTGGTAAAGTCATTCTTTATTTATTTAGTACAACAGAATGCCATTGCTTTTCTAGCTTTTGCTGTGAAGGTTGGTGGAAGTGCATCCTCACTACCCCGTTTGTCTTTGGCCAAATAATAAGGTTTTTATTTAGCGAACGGTGAAAAAGTTTGAGAATGTCAAGGCTAGGAGCGCATTGCTCAAGACCCAAAGTTCTTTGTCGCTTTCATTTACATTTTTGTTCTTTGACTTTATTGCTTTTCAATTTTCATAACTTTATTGGCTAGAAAGATATTTTCCTTTTATTTTTCTGTCGATAGTGCCATGAAGTCTGAACTTTGAAGGGGAGGAGAAATTACTACACGAGTGCAGATGTACGTACCAAACTAAATTTGAACCATGGAAGAAGGTGGACTTTTATATGGTCTCACGTGAGTTTCTCCATACATGACAGTCCAGATTGAGTTTAGTATATGTACTAAGTTCGTGAAATACTAGCTCGAAGGGGAGACAAAATGCATCCTTTTAGGTCACTCCAAGTGACGTGCAGTTTCCAAAGAGTCAAAAAAGTTCGTAGGAGCTCTGCCAAAAAGAAAAAGGAAAAAAAAACAAGTACATGTATTTGAGCACTAATGTTGCGTTTGGTACGGCGTAATATGATAGAAAGAGGAATTGAAATGAAAAAATTGGAATGGCATGGTGAATATATTGGAATGAATATCTTAAAAATGAAACAAACACTCTTTCATTTAGTCAATGACTCCACATGTTTTAATATTTTAAAACATAATTTTTTTTTATTAAAGAGCATCTTAGCGCTCTTCTTAAGCAACTAATTACGATTCCTGGCGAAAAAAAAAAAAACTAATTGACGAAATTTTACAGTTTTTACTGTATCATTATCTTGTATTACGTGCAATTATCAATTTGAGAATTGAACTTATTTTACATTGTCCCAAGGGCACTTATTAATATTATCTTAAATAAAAATTTTGTTCCTTATCCTACATACAAAAATTAAATCAAAAGAGCTGAAATTATGAATCCATCACCTCAAACACAATTTAAGTTTTTCTATCGCATGATGAGGTCTTTTCAAGCATTACGTAACCATCACTTATTTTTTCATGAACTCTCATGCGCTCTCGTATCACACTCATTTACCTCGTTCAAAAGATGTTTTTATCATGCCATTATTCATCAATTTGCCCGTGCAACGAACTGCTAAAGTCCCACAATTTCCCAGCATGAGATTGACAAGAATTTATTAGATAGGGATAATTGCAAAATCTATCCTTAACTTTCCTTTCCTGTCAAGTGTTCTCCTCGTATTTCAAAACTTACATTTTGCATCTCCTCAAATCTCACTCTCTTCCCGTCATTCCTCTCTTCTCATACACAACAACATGACATAGCCGCCTGCACAGGGTCGAGCCACCGCTGGACACCATAGCTAGACCGTAATGCCGATGTGATACCATTGCCCTCACCCTCACCCGTCGCCCGCGCCCCTCTCCTGGCATCTGTGTCTTTGTTTATGATGAGGTCACATGCGATGCGCGATGGCAAGGCCACGCGAGCTTGGCCTAAGCTTGTGGCTCTCGGTCAATGAGGCCATGCAAAGTTGGCCTCAAGCTCATGAGGGCTGTGGCTAGCTGTGAGCCTCTGCGACAGGCTGGCCATCCATGCAAGTACTGTAGCAAAGCTCGGCTATGACGGCCATGATCGAGGTCGAATGATCGACCTCGACCTTGATTGAACTTTGAGCTGTCACCGTGATCAATTCTTAGACTTCGATACGAGGTTGGCGACAACCGTAGATTATTGAATGCTCTCACAATCTTACGTGTTGAAAATCTTTTCACAACCATAAGATTTGCAATTTGAGAGTCTGTGGAGCTTGCGTACTCAACTAAACAATTGACCTTTATTTTGGCGCTTTCATAATAGATGAAGGTGGAGATTGGCCAAAAAGGAAAATGGATAAAGGTGGAGACGATAAAAAGCGTAGCACAAGTGTTTGCCGGACCAACATTATACATAAACATATATATATATATATATATATATGTGTGTGTGTGTGTGTGTGTGTGTGTGTACGTAGAGAGAGAGAGAGAGAGAGAGAGAGAGAGAGTTTTAAAATCTTATGGGACCAAAGTTAATAGACTTTTTTTGGCGAACAAGTGTATCCTCCAAACGCCACCAATTTCATTTCAAGGCATCATTCAAAGCAGATCCGTTCCTTCCACGATTTCACGCGATTACTTTATTGTTGTGTTCTTGAATGATATTATTGCCTATGATATAGAGACCTTGTCTAAGCAAAGAAAGAGGGACGATCGTGCGGACGTTAGGCATGACTTTTTCCTAACAATTATAAACTTGAAAAGAAATACTTCGACTTTTATTAAGTGTTACAACTACAAGATTGTCACAGCCGAAGTATCATTGCACATCTTAAAAAGCTTCTTCTTCAAATTTCAAGTTACGGAAATTTAAAAAAAAACATATATTATCAAATAACATAAATTATAATACGTCGTACCACAGTTATGACATAAATATTTAGACAATTCTCAGCTATTGCCTTACTCAAAAGCAGAAATTTTGCAATCTAAAGAAATGGAAATGATGATTGATTTAGAAGCATCTAAAGGGGACCAGCATAGGCTCCTCCATCAATCCATTTCATATGACCTTCACCATGAGAGTCATAGTGTTTGAACCAAGCTTCTCTAATCATGACAGTCCTGGCCTTGCCCACATAAATAAGCAAAGCTCCCCAACCAAAAAAACAAAACCCTGAATTCTTCTTTTGTCCATGCCTTTACCATTTACTTTTTCCCGAGTTTTGATTTTTACTAGACAAATGCCTTTGTAATCTCTCATGGGTGGCGCTTTCAACCAACAAGAAGATAGAGAAGGTGCTGAACGCAGGAACCCTCCCACTCCACACCAACTCAAGCTTTGCCTACCGCTGCCAAGACCCAAAACGTTCCATAACTCCAACTCCCCTGCTGCTCTCGGCATCTGGGTCTCAAAGTTTCTTTGGAAGCTGCATTTCTGGGCTCGTTTCTCAAGTGGGTCGTGCTCTAGGAGGCTACGCTACAATGGCATGATAGTCAACAACTCTGCATTTTATGCTTCACCGGGCCGTGCTGAAGCAGAAGGAGAAGGAGAAGAGGGTCCTGAAATGGAGGGGTTGAGTGTCAAGAGAGAAGGCACTGAGGGAAGGAGAGATAAGTTCTGCGAGAACGGTGGTGGAGTTGGGATTTTTGCGGATTTGATCGAGGAAGAGAGGCGTGAGAGCAGTTCAAGCTCAGCTTTCTTGACATCGGATGTGACCGGGGATGAAGAACAAAGTCATAGCAGCTCCGAGGTGTCGTATTCGCCGCCTCCTGTGTTGCATTGGTCGGCGGACAAAGCTCCGGCGTCGGACTGTTCCAGTGAGAATAGTGTTGTGGAAGATGCAGAGAAATTCCCCTCCAGTGATGAGAAGTTGGAGAAACATGGCTCTGCAATTTCAGGTTTGAACCAAGACAAAACCAAAACTGAAAGGAATATAATTAGTTGTAAGTTTATTTTAATGTCATTACTGATTACTGTTTGGTTAATGGGCGATGCAGAGGTTGAGATGATGAAGGAAAGATTCTCAAAATTGCTTCTTGGAGAGGACATGTCGGGTTCCGGTAATGGGGTCTGTACAGCATTGGCCATATCAAATGCCGTTACTAATCTTTGTGGTATGTTGCCTACTTGGAATTCGTTACCAACTTCTTCTTCATTGCTGTGGCGTATTGGCCTAAGAATTGAATTTGATTGGTCCAGCTTGTTGTGGAAAGTGGTTTTGTCACCTGTATTGCTGATTGAAGGACATATGGTCTTTTGAAAGAAATAAAAGTGAAACTAGTTTTCGTATATGCATCTCTCGTTGTGTGCTCCAATCCATGGTGTGATTGCAAGTGCATTATGAGAGAATTTTTTTGATGGCACTATTTCTGATGATTGATCTTTTGTTTTGTAACTTCATTCGTGAAGCCACCCTGTTTGGGCAACTTTGGAGGTTAGAACCTATTCCTCTGGAAAAGAAAGCAATGTGGCGTAGAGAGATGGAATGGCTTCTTTGTGTTAGCGATCACATTGTCGAGTTCACTCCGTCGTGGCAGACTTTCCCTGATGGAAGCAAGCTCGAGGTAAGGCCATTTGCTTGTTAAATTGCACCTATAAAATTGCATCCTTTGACAAATAAAAGCTTGTTTCTTGACATCCCATTCTCTAGTGAGTTCTAAGTCTTGATTAGCGCTAGAATTCTCCACTCTGCTATGATGGGGATGATTTTTTGGCTTTAGCTGCTTCAATGTTCCGTAGGCATAAGAATTGCTGTGGTTGTTAATAACATCTGCACTTAGATCTCTGTGTTTAAGGAAGAACGGCAAACGACAGTAATAATTGTTGCTATAGAACCATACAGTGTAAAATAGTCTCAATTCATGAACACTTTGACATTTGTGATTGCTTGCTTCACTTCAGGTAATCAACTTGGTAAGATGATTCCATACTACTTACTGGTGGATTATAAAGAAATTGGTCAAAATTGAGGGACCAATTGGATTTGAGGTTTCTCAAAAGTCATTTTGCCAATTCTTTGTCTCTGTGTTTCAGGTCATGACATGCAGACCAAGGTCTGATCTTTATGTGAATCTCCCGGCCCTCCGAAAGCTAGACAATATGCTTCTTGTAAGGTTTCTTCCAAGTGGTTAAGTGGTCGATGTTTTTAGTCGGGAAGGAAAACTGAGGATTATGACTTGTCTTTATCAGGAAATATTAGACAGCTTTGAAGACACAGAGTTTTGGTATGTGGATCAAGGGATTTTAGCGTTGGAGGCCGATGGATCGTCGTCTTTCCGACAAGCCCTCCAGCGCCAAGAGGAAAAATGGTGGCTTCCGGTACCTCGAGTCCATCCTGAAGGTCTCAGTGAAGTTTCTCGAAAGCATTTACAACACAAACGTGATTGCACCAACCAGATATTAAAAGCTGCCATGGCAATCAATAGCATTGCCTTAGCCGATATGGAAGTCCCCGATTCATACTTGGAAACTCTTCCTAAGGTATGAAGCATATATAACTGTCATGTATAAATGTGGCATATGAATGCAACTTACCTAGTCTCTAAGAGTTCTTCAACCGATTACAGAATGGACGAGTGTGCTTGGGTGATATTATATATCGCTATATTACCTCGGATCAGTTTTCTCCTGAATGTCTGCTAGATTGCCTTGACCTTACATCAGAACATCAAGCTATAGAAATTGCCAACCGTGTCGAGGCCTCAATATATGTTTGGCGAAAAAGAACTCATTCAAAACCTGTCAATAGCACCAGCAGATCTAATTCGAAGTCATCGTGGGGATTGGTAAAGGAGCTTATGGTCGATGCAGACAAGAGAGAATTTCTTGCGGACAGAGCAGAAAGCCTCCTGCTTTGCTTGAGGCAATGGTTCCCTGGCTTGCCTCAGACCACCTTGGACATGAGCAAGATTCAATACAACAAGGTAATATATCTAGGACTCTGTCATTCATTTGTTGTACACGATTTTCGGTTTTTTCAGTTCACTCCCTTGTGAAAAATCATAAGAAAACCCTGACAACATAGATCCGAGTAATCTTTTTGTTGGGATTTTTGATTGGTGATGAGGCGACGAATAAATTATAGTAAAGAATCCTACTCTGGAAAATATCCCAGGTGTTCTAGGTTTAGTTTCAGTATAGCTGTATTAGTAGAGTGATCCACTTTGCATTGCACCTGTAGGATGTGGGAAAATCCATTCTGGAGAGCTATTCAAGAGTACTAGAAAGCTTGGCGTTCAACATTGTGGCTCGTATTGATGATTTACTATATGTAGACGACTTGACAAAGCACTCGGACAATGTCCCTTCAATCTCCAAGGTAAGTTTGATTGCGCACAAGAGCATTCCAATCCCATACACAGTGCCCCTCTCGGGCACTCCGTATAAAACAGCTTTCTCCACGCCAAGCTTCTCTCCGGCACGTCTCTTCAGCCCCATGAGGGGTGAGAGATCTCCTTTCATTGCCAGCGGCAAGCTTCAGCATCGTGGGTTAGGCGTGAAAAAGGCTTTGACAGATTATGTTGCCATCGACACAAAAGGAAAGGACTGTGGCAAGTCGAATGAGGAGGCGGATGCGTTGTCGAATGTCATCATCAAAGCATCTGCATCTCCGAGTGGCGTAATCTCTGACAAAGGTAATCTCAGCGCGAGGGAAGATTTACATGCCAAATAAGGAACTACCAAGAGGGCTTCTCAATATGATTTGCCTATATCAGTGCTCTGAACTATTCTCTGCTGTACTAGATATATACATATACAGGTGCTAGGTTTGTTTAGATCATGTTGTTAATTGTAGTGACATCTTTTGTATGAGCTGAGGCCTGACTGCTCATGCTACATGTACCTTCAAGGGCAGCAATTCTCCATCGTTGCAGCAATTCCCTTGAGATTGAGTTGCATATTGCGCAACGTATATAGAATTGCAGACCCTCTTCTGTAAGGACTGGCATATGAAACTTATTGCTTCACGGGTAGATGAGTTGTAAACGCGCGAGCGCAAGAAACATCCTCACTATGCTTCTAAAGAGGCCGCGAGAATCTTGACTCGCGACAATCTTCATAGTCTGATGAGTGAAAACATGAGCTAACAGAAGGAACGATTAAAGATGGGTTGAAATAATCTGATGATCTTGGAATTACCATGTTTGTATTCTCTTTGTGCCGACGCTCCGGCATCACAATTTTGCTGGAAAGATAGGCATGTCCCCGTGCTGCATCGTTTTGCCTACTGGATAAAGACAATGTTTGAGCTAATTAGAACTTGGTGAGAGTTCTCAAAGACAAACGACTGTTGGTTTTATTGCTGCTCAGGCACGTATTCGACGTAATGCGCCGGAGGTTTAGGAGGCGTTGGCGACACGCACGATATGCACAGAGTTGTCATAAATAGTGAACGTATGGAAAAACTGTGGCGTACATCGAGTTCATTCCTGTGAAATCGGTGCGTCTCAACCGTTGATCTTGATGGGTCTCTCGTGACGTCCATATGATGCGTTAACGAACTCAGCACGCGCCCGATATTGACTCAAATGGATGAGTCTCTCCTTGCCTGATAAAAGTGCTTAGCCCGGCAGCTTGACTCTTTCCTGGGCCCAGCAAGTGTTTGGGGAGTGGTGGGGTGTGTGGACTGAGACAAGATTCGCCCGAAACCCCAAATGTAAGTTATCATATCTGGACACCATTATCGGCTCTGAAAAAACTGTCCACCTAGTCCTAGATTCATTATGCCTGCACCTGTTCAATTCTAAATTTTTTGATTTGCTAATTTAGTTTTAAATCTTTACGCGAAATTACAATGTATTTCTGCCGATCAATTTTTACCTGAAATCACTCGTGTAGCGGTATGCCCCGTAGAATGACTGGTGATGATTTGATCGTCACGTCAGCGATTTCCGATGAAAATTGAGCAGCAGGACTACATTGGGATTTCGAGTAAAGTTTTTGGATTAAATTGAAAAATTTGAAAAGTATAGGATTGGATTGTTATCCGTACAATAGATTTAAGATGGATTGGGTATGATTATTTGATATTCACTTGCAAAGACTTGGAGCTAAGAGGTATCGTCTTTGGAAAAATTACAATTCAAATCATGATAAGGAAAATGCTGAGATCTGTTTATTTTGAAAAAACCTTCATGATAAAAGAAAATACTTTTCGGGAAATTATTTTTCGGAAAAATATCTTCTCCATTTTAGGTTAGGAAATTCATTTTCCTAACTTTAAGCATGCACGGAAATGATTTTCCGTTAATTGATTATTTTTAATTTTTCACTAAATTAAATATTTGAAAGTCCAGAAAATTAATACCGGATTTTTTTTTACTCAAACAAACATATACCCTAAGTATGAAATGGGTTCACTACTCCAAATCTGGCTTGTATCCTCTGCTAAAAAGAAGATCTTAATGCAAAGATTCTTTCTTAGCCTTTCTTGATCTTGGAAATGATAGGTCCCAATCACATGATTTGACTTGTACACTTAATTTTGAAAATTACACGACTACACTAGATGGTAATAGTTACTATAAATACAAGTCTCCTTCTTCCTTATTTATGCACGGAAAATTTCCAGCAAATTTTTTCTTACATTTTCGACAATCTAAATCCAAAAGCATACGTCCATCACTGACTCAATTTACTGGATTGATGAAGTTGTATCATTTAAAAATCTAGGAAAATTACCACAAAAGTTCTAAACATATTACACTTGTATCAATTCAGTCATAAACCTTTTAATTTGGTCAATTTAGTCTTAAACTTTTTGACAATTTGTTAATTGTGTCCATTTGGCCAATTTGGGCTAAAAATTATTGACGTGAACGCCGGCCGTCCTACGTGACACTGCTAATGCTGATGTGAACAATTTTTGTAATTTTTTAAAAAGGTTTTTGAATCTTAAAATTTTAAGTTGTTTATCATTTTCTTTTATATTTTTTCTTTGTTGCGGCTGGCGAGGGCTTGATGACCCTTGTTCGCCACTGGGCAAGGGCCTACAAGCCCTCGTTGGCCACGGGACCCGGATTTGACGAGGATGACCCTTGCCCAGCCCTCTCAAGGCATCGTAGGTAGTCGACCATCGCTTGAGACCAGCCACCAATGAAAAGGAAAGAAAAAAAAGAAAAACGAAAAAAATTTAGAAAAAATTTAAAAAATTGTCAACATTAGCATTAGTACGCCACATAGGACGGCCAGTGCTGACTGGACCGCCATGTCAGCATTTTACTGTCAAAATTGGCTGGAAGGATTACGTTGGTAAATCATCAAATGTTTATGATTGAATTGGCATAGTTAGTTGAAAAATTTAGGATTGAAGTGCTATAGGTTTAAGACTTCTTTAGTAGTTTTGCCTCGAAAATCCTCAAGACACATGCAATACTAAAATCATGATATTTGTTTTTGATAACTTAGGAGAGCGCAGATGCTTGACTATTTGAAGACCCATGTAATACCTTCTAAATCTCATGAATTGGTAAAATCTAGGCGTGTAGCCTATGTAAGTGACCGCGACCCAAATCAGCCTGCATGCATACACGTTGAATTTTTCCGTTATTCAAAACAGACAATGCTCAAGAAAGCACTTAATTGGACTTTCATAACAATTTTAAGACATGACTCCACTATTTGAAAGCTTCATGATTTGATTACATGTTCCTTATAAAGTTTTAAGAGAAAAACAAAATTGACCAAAAATGACTATATTGAAATTTTGTGTAAAAATTTTAGACTAAATTGATAAAATTAAAAATTTTAGAATTAAATTTGCATCCGTACAATAGGGCTATGATTAATTAGGTAATTTTCTCCCGGACAATCAGTCAATTATCATAACCAGTCTTTCCTTCTAGATACGTTGTTTCTCTAGCACATACGATGTGACCTCGCTTGATGTTTAATGCCTCTTCCCCATTGACTTCTAATCCCCATTTCGTCTTCCACGCGCATGCAGCTCGTACCACACATCGACCGGTGAACGTCCCTATCGATGAGCTTTACGAATTGTCGTGGTCCTCCCATGAACCGCACCCGCACGCATCTGCAGTGTATTCTAATAGTTTTTCCATCATTTCCTCCGTGCGAGAAAAGTCTGAACAGGGTCAAATCCACTCGTATCCCTTCCTAATAAGGACAAAAGGGAGGTCCCAACCCATTCTAGAAGGTGGGGCGGCCAATCACAATCATATAATAAAAGCAAAAAAATGACCAATACATTTCAACTTTCCCCGAAAATTCAGAAATATATGTACAAAAAAAACTAGTTATGCCCCGTAATTTAATGTGATGTTGCCATCTTATGCTTGGCTTTTCTGTGATTTTAGCTGCATGTCACAACATCAAGTTGTGAACTTTATTGGCCTTAGGCAAAGAAAATCATGTAGACTTTTGTTCCGTTGGAATTTTTTTTTTCCGGATAGGAAGTACGAGAAAAACGTATCTTATTTGTCTCCCCCATGTTACATACATGCTTCTATTTTGAAATATACATCTTTCGCCGATGTGGCACTACAGTCATCGCCGGCTGTTCGATGCGACACATCTGCGATTTCCGGTAAATATCGACTAAAATGATTACATTGTGCAAATGTTTAGGAATAAATTGATAAAATTGTAAAATTTTAAGACTAAATTGGCATCCATATAATGAGTCTAGGATTGATCGGACAATTTCCCCGGAATTGGCAAATCTAATAAGGTTGATGAGAACATGGAGTTTTATCGAAGTGTTCGGTCTTCTCTTACTTCGTTGAGAGTGAAGACAGTTAGAGATTGCCTTCGCTTTGGTTGTCGATGTAATTTCCTGGTCGTTTCCAGTTCGTTCGCTTTTGGGCCTCCACCACGTTTTGCGCACTCTAAGTTTAGAGACTCCCACTCAAGCCTCCAACCTCGGACTCGGGGGGCGAGAGTTTCAGTCGGCTATCACGTTCGATCGCGCGCACGATTCGCAGCCTCTTGGAAACTCAGTTTCTTCATCAATTCAGACATCCCAACTCTGTTGGAGAACTGGATTCATAGCAACCCCAACGTTAACGAGGGTATGTTAATACTCGAATTCGGCGACGAATTAAAAGGATAGGAAGATGCGAGCGGCATAGCGATCCATACTATAAGAGCCCCGAGCAACTATGGAGTGTTGAACCTTGTTCATGCGAACGAGTGAACAAGCTCAATGGTTCAAGGTTGGAAAGCCGGTCTTCTTTTGTTTTAAATAATGTAAGGACACGAGAGAAGAGGTCCGGTTACTTGGACACCCACGAAAGACCCCGCGAGTCCCTGTGCACACAGTTGGAAGGGCTTGAACAAGTGACTCCCAGTTCCGGGTAAGGCTTGAACGAGATGAAGCCTGTCATCCCGGCCTCACCCGAATATCAAAGGTCCAGACCCCATCTGCACAAAAGTAGATATACACAACCAGCGCCCCAGACGATTTCGGCCTCTTGACCTCGGATTCGTGAAATAGTCTCCCGCCTCCGCTAGTCCGCCACACTTGATGACGAAGAAGTGATTCAGACAGGTATATGTAAATGATACTACCTATGAACTCTTCCGAGGGGATTCAGTTAATGAAACAGAGGCCCTATTCTGCTTGATCACATTAGATGGCGTGAATCAGTAGCTTCTATTTATAAAGAGGCAAACTGATCATGGCAATAGTGAGCGAATCGTAGTGTCCGGAAAGGCTAGTATTGCCAATTACTTCGTCGGAGCTCGCTCTAATTCTTGCATATATCCATGATCAAAGTGCGTCTTGGTATATATCTTGGAACATCTCTAACTGTATCAAAATTTAGGTGTATCATACAAGCGGTTGGTCCAACTCTACAAATGGATGTATCCAAACCATGTACAAAGAGAAGGATAAGAAAAGAGGGGCATGCGCTTCAGCCGAGTTTCCATGGTAGGCATTGGAGCTTGGAGCAAGACCCCTCCCATGTGACTGTACAC